GCATCACAGAAGAGTTGAAGGTGTAATCATGTGAGCATGCAGTGGGACAACATTCATTACAGCAGTTTCACTGGGGAAGTGAGCTGTGCTCTTTTTTTCTGTATGTGATTACTGAAAGTGGTTAGAAAAATGCAATAACCTAGAGATAACAGTATCCTTTCTTGTAAAGGAGTAAATGTCTTCATATACGTTAACTGTTCCATGAAATTACTTTCACAGTCCCTGAAATAAATTTCCAAACTTTCCATATAAAAAAACTATAATCGTTCTTATATCACACATTGCTATATAATTCACTTCCACATGGCATCACTAAGCACAATTTTGTGTGCCTGTGGTTCAAATTGTCTCCCAAATGTCTCATCAGCAACAGGATCTTTATAATCCTCTTTAGAGAATTACAGAAACAACTGCCTACTGTTTTGTTGCTTTGAAATTCAGTCAGGCACATTACTGTCCTTCCTTGGAGTAGGTCACTATACAGCAGTTTGTCTATTAAACAGCAGCATTTTTTGTGACAGCAGCCTGTGCTGCCTGGAGAGTTCATCTTCTCATCACTCAGAGGCTGTTTGTGCCTGTTGCTTTGTGTAGGCAACCATCTTAAAATGGAGTTTGTCACCTTTCATCCTACGCTGCTCATCAAATACACGTTTTACAGCCACAGTGAGACCCTCCAGTGGTCAACGCGATCACAGTCAGAGCCGTGTTATTTTCTAAGCAGAAACATGATGGATCTGACTGGCAGAGCGGGTGGAATATGGAGCTTTAAAAGAAGTCTAGAGTGATCTGCAGGATACAGGCCACTCTTCATTACACCACCAATATTGAAGGCTATTAATTAATTAGAAGTAAGACCTTATGACATCATCCTTAAATGGGTATTGCAAGGCTGGTTATTAGATCTTTCAAAACCATAATCAGTATGCTAAGTTCCAAAATCTTTTTTTTTCAGTCATAAAAGATCTGGAATGTTTAAATAAATATGCTAAGTGGATAGCATTTTCATATCAATTTTCCATAAATCCAATCCATTATTCCAAAAGCTTACAGTTGGAATAGGAGGATGGATTTTCATCTTTCCAATGTTTATTAGAAATACCCAATCATTTATATCAATAAGACTACATAGGGCATACATGTCCTGTGCTTGAGAGTAAGTATTTGCCTGTCAAACAGGACACACAAAATAAAAACCTCAGAAAAAAGAAACCTGTAATCACCAGGACCAGCTTTAATTTTCCTGTCAAACTTCCATTTCAGAGAGGAAACAACTGCCCCTCTTCATCTCTTCCTGTTTACCCAGCTAAGATTATGAAAAAAGGTTGATTATGATTGACTAGATTTTTGTCTACCGTCATATCTCTCAGAACTTCCAGAATAATTCCCCTTTGTGAATTCTGGAAGTTCCCAGCTCCTATTTATCATGAAATGCACTGTCAGGTTAAATACAACACATATTAAATCATCACGTTTGGTGAAAAAGTAATGCATGTAAGCAACAGCTCTTAATATTTGCCTCTTACAGCAGAGAGGAATGGACAGACGGTGAAACCCAACGTTACCAGGCCCCGTTTGTACTGGAAGGGTTATTAGTGAATAGGGTATAAAGCTGAAAACTGTGCAGTGAACTGTGCCAGCTCATCTGCATTACTCTCACTTAGACCAAACTGCAAACAGGGAAAATGTCAGTATTTGAAAGCAAAACTGTGAAGTAAAGTAATTAAATGAGGTTTGCATGTTAACTCCATGGCTACCTACTCCGTTATAAAGTAATAATGTGCTTCAAAGGTTATTGAGTACACTCAAAAGAAGCAGACTCTGTAGAAAAGAGGGGCGAGCGGGGTGGAATGAAGGGGGGGGGGGGGCACTTCATCTTCTAAAACAAGTCAGTACAATTTCTGGTGGAAACAAAACGTTGGTGTTTTTTCAAGACAGCAGAAAACATGTCTGTAACACGTCTCTTAAGTTCTTAAGTCATTTAATGATCTGAGCAGTGAAAACACAGCATAGGTGGTGTTTGGCTTGTGTACGTTTTCATTCATCTTCAGTTATTATTGTAGAGGGACCCCTGCTGCCAGGCTCCAAAGCTGCATCTGATTCAGAAAACAGCTGCACTTTAAACTGTCACGCTAATATGTTGGTTTTCTCTATCTAAAATAAATCCATATATGACCATACAGCCCTCTTCTTCTCCTCCCCTCACGCTTTCATTAAAACACCACCACACCTTTCATGCTGATTATATCTTAAGAATCGGAAACTGTGTGTTTGATTAATCGTGCCAAGCTATTCTCTCAACCAAAAAGCTTTGTCTTTGTAATTACAGCGGATTAGGGACTAATAACTAATTATGCCCTAATATGCTTTAATGCATTTTTAATGGCAGCTGGGTGTTAAAGTTAAATTCACTGCTGTCTCTCTTGGGGGTAGAAGGTGAAGATTGAGGAAGGGGTTTCTTGGCAGTGGAGGCTGAAGGGAGGATGGGAATCATTGATTTCTTTGGCAGAGGTTATGGGAGCACAGGAGGGAGGCAGGTGCAAAATACTGAAGTTATTCCCTGTTAAAATGTCGCGCCCACCATGACAAGCAGCAAAATGCATATCCCTCGCCGCTGTTTTATGTCAAAAGAGGGAGGACACAAGTGCCTGTAAGAATCATGATCTGGGATAGAAACCGCTTATTGATTTGTAACTTAATGAAGGGATGACTGCACTGTCAAGACAACTGACACTGAGAACTGCTGGTAGCTGAAAAGAGGGCAGAATATTATGTTGTGGATGGACTAGAGGGACAACAGTCTATCTCTCAAGTGCTACAGTCAGAAAATACAATGCTAGGATACCTAAACCCAAGCTAATTCATGCCAGTATACTTCTAAAGGTTTCTAAAGGTCGCCCAGTGTCTAAAAAGCACACTTGACACGTAATATTAAATGCATGACTGCATACACGTTTAAATGTATTCATAGTCACTGTTTGTTGTCTACACATGTCTGTTTTCCTCAACATTCCATTTGTTTATCTTGTTTATTCTAATAAGGCACTGGAACGGAAACATATCTGCATAATATTTCAAAGATTGATTGAGATGCAAATTGCCCTGTGAGCCCAATCCATGTGGTTTGGCTCGTTTTAATTGGCTTCTGTTAATTAATGCCCAATGAGAAGACAAACTGAATTGGTTTCAGATTTTGTGCATGTCATTATCTCATAATTGTAGCAGCAAGAAAGCATGTGTGTGTGTGTGCTGCAAGTGTGAGCTAGCGCGTACATATTTCATTAACCCTTTCCTCACATGTACCATCAGCCAAAAACTGTAGCACCTTAAAAGGCTTGCAGGGGTAAAAAGAAATTGTATTACATTATCCAGTTATATTTCTAATTTCAACGGAAAGACAATATGACATTATTGCTATCTGGCAATATATTATGTCTATCAGGGATATTCATTTTCCACATTTAGATATTATCCTCATGATAAATTTCATCCAAAAAGAATGGCTTAACTTTCTTTGACAGTTTTTCCATTTTACGCAATAACTGCATAGATTTGATAATGGGTGCTTAGTGTTTGAGTCCTTTGTATGTAAGTGTTCTTGATGTTATCTAAACCATTACGCAACATGAACATGTTATTATAGTAGATTGAAATCAATTAGCTGTCAAAGAAGCTGCAACTCCGGTTAGCCAAATGATTCATAAATGTTTGAGCCATGACAGAAAAGAAAAACAACTTAAAATCTTCTAAAATGTTTCTCCTTGGAGATGGATTTGAAATGTGGTTCGACGAGTATGCAATGAACTGTGGCTCATCTTCTGGACCTGTTGATGAGATATATGTGCAACTTGTGGTGCAAAGCAGGAAGATTCATGTTTTCAGCTCATTAAACAGAGGACACTAAATCTCCAAGTAGACATATAACAGTAAAAATGCATTAAAGAGGAAAAGAAATGATGAGTGCGAGTCATTACACCTCTCATCATGACCACCAAGTGATTTATCCCAGTAGCCGGTCAAAAAGTCGAGGAGGTCCTCGACAGCCACAAATAAACAAATTAATGTGATCAGTCGCTCTCTGAGGAGAGAAGGCACATTGGAAATTAATGGTGGCCTGTTGCTATGCAGAGCAGAGCGTCGTTAGTGCCGGAGTGACCTTGAAAAGCCTCGTTAGAGGAGTGATTGACATGGCAACTGTTGCCGGTGGTTACGCTGACGGTGGGAAGGGAGGGCTGGGCAGAAGGGTGGGCCGGGTGGCACGGTTGCAGGTGGTAGGCAGCGAGTGCAGAGAGAAAGTGGGATGTTATAAATGTAATGTGGCTTCCTCTAGACAACGTGTGACAAATGGAACAGCTTTAAGGGAGAGGTGGGAGCTCTGATTTTCCCAAATCTAAACTGCACACCTGATCCAAAAAAAGGAGTATTGTATGTATCATAGTTTTCAGTGGTACCATAAAACAAGCTGCATAGAACAACCATTATTCATTAATTACACAGCAATCATTATCTGCAAACATAATTCGGTTCATTTCTTGCTGTTTTACTGTCATTGCTCAATACAAATCAATGCAACATTACTTCAACTCCATCGTGTTTAATACAATGATACGCACTGCCGGAAAAACTTGCAGTGAGATATTTGAGTGTTATTCTAAGACTTGCCACCTCACTAAACATTTGTCCAGATCAATTTTCCCTCTCCCAGCAGCCGAACCCTACAAAAACAGCTTATGCAAACATATCTTCAATAGCTTTACAGAAATCATCTGTAGTTAACATCTGCTTTCTCTGCCGGACAAAAACACAAAGTTCAAACAAGTCAACTTTGGAGTGACCTCAAGTAGAATGTTTTTGCTTTTTAATAAGGCTAAACTCCACCCAGGCCCTCCACTATGTATTCAGGCTGACATTAATCCCCAATCAGGGAATGTCAGAGAAGGCTTACTACACAACAAATGTTGATTCTGTGGTGATAATCCTCCATGGCAACCAGTGCTCAGGTGTTAAAATGTACCTGTTATGTCATGCTGTTTGAAAGAGTCGCTGTAGATCTGATGCTGATTGGGACAGTGCTTTTTCAGCCACTTGCAGACATCCTGCTGGGTCCAGAGGGCCACTGGCTTAGACAGCTTCACATATCCGGGCTGAGGGGGAAAAGAAAAAAAACAAGTTCAGGAAGAATTATTTTTGCAAATTTAATATTTTGTTTCATGGGTAAACTACAAATTTATCAAGAATGATAAACCACTTTTGTATTTTTAGTGAAAGGAAGGAGACAAAATTGTAGTCACATCACATTTACATGTTTGTCATTCCATCTACTTTTATCATGATAAATAATGATAAATGACCTCAATATGACATTTTATTCCAAAGATAACCAGAATATTCATCCTGTCTGATACCAGGATGAAACAACTCCAGAAACTCATTAAAGATGAGTCATCACACAAGGAAATTATTAAACACAGACTTTTTGAGTACACAAATTGAATCAGTTGTTTAATCGCAGTAGAAGAGGAGAGTTTTTGGAAGATAGTTGTAAAGTACTTTTGTGTTTTTGAAATAGCGGCTTGAGGATTCAATCAACTGGAAAATTAAACTTCATCCTTTTGATTAACATTTATCAATTTGGCTGTTACTCATTAAAATAATCATTTTAAGTGGGTTCTTTTCTGACTGAATAACAAGAAAAGAAAATAGGGAAAGCTTTTATTTTCTTAAAGGTTGAATTAAAAACTGGTAAATTCTGGTAAATGAACACTGGTAAATGAAATAAATCCCCAAAACTTATTTGCGTTGGCAAAGTGAAAAAACCCCCCAAAAAGCCTGTATTCCGTAACAGAAAAATAGTGGTATAAATATGTCAAATGCTGAAAGTTTCATTTACACTTGGTACTGGGGGTTTATTAGTACCATGTTGCATCACATCATCCTTTGCATTTAGAAGCTCAAGAGACCAGATGCTGTTGTTCTTGCTTGATTTAGCGGCTCGCCCATCTGGGATTTTCTAGATAAATGTTTCAGGAATGTAACATGTCACGGCATATAATGAGAAAAAAAATCCATACATATACTGTACATACGTATTAAAAACAATTCACCTGTAAACGCTGTCAAAAAGGAACAAACTCTAAATACGACACATGCATTATAGATTGGATAAACTCCCATGCTTAGTAAAAAATGTACAAACACATTCAGACTGAACTGTACTTAATTTGCAAGATGGATCTCGAATTCAAATACTTGAACAGCAGGTAATGCCTCAACCTGCCAAAGGATTTCTACTGAAGGTGTTTTTTTTTTATTTTGATTAAGGAGCCACTGAAATTTAAGAACACGGCGAGATTATTAAAATTTTACATCCACTCCTTTCCAGTTCTGGCTGCTTTCTGGCGGCTGTGTGGGGCAGCATAGCAATAGAGGACCCTCTCTTCCTCCAGCCAGAGAGCCAGACAACAGGTATTGGCTGCCTTTCCTTTGCTTTGCCTTCACACACCTTCCATCACATCTCATCTCTGCTCACAATTCAATCTCACACGGTCCCCCTCAGACCTATAGCATTGTCTTCTCCACTTCCTGTCTGCACAGCTCTTACCTGTTCTTTCTTATATCCTTCTACACCTCGCCTTTTCAGGGCCTCAAACTGCCGTTCCCACTCACTCTATATATAGCATCGTGAAGAGAGAAAAATTGGGGGAGAAATACATGCTGCTTTGGGCATATGGTCGGTGTCTCCTGCAGATAGGTGAAGTGACAGAAAGTCAAAGCAAGAAGTCAAGTATGTAGGCAGGTAGGCAAGATCCTGTCTCATAAAGTATTTGGCAGCCTGCATAGATAGCTGCTGAATGTACAGAAAAGGGGGCAGGACACTATTGCGGTGGGGGGGGGGGGGGGACACATTAACCATTAAACACAGCTCGGCTCAGTGCAAATTAATCCTGACTGGTAGCCTGAGGCAACAGAAAGGAGGGGAAGGCCGAGACGAAGAAAGAGTGAGAGACGGAATGGAATAAAAGAGGGAGAGGAGTGTGTCGGCTGAGAGGAGTGCCAAGGATGGCTGGACTGAAAGATGAGCCAGAGAAATAAAAAGCAAGAGCGGCACAGTGGACTCGGCGGAGTTTGACACGGGAGACTCTCATTTTCCATGAACCCATTTGTGAGTCAATGGCCATCTGTGTTTTACATTCTGCACTGATTTAGCCCAGAGCCGCGTTGCCGGGGACGGTACAATAGGTGAGCCGGTGCCTTCTCGCACACCGGCCAGCCAGCAGAGGCAAGAGGTGAAGAGAAAACAGCAGAAGCATAACAGAACAATCATGCTCAAAGAGCTGTGTTCAAGAGACTCTGAGCCAATTAGCGATTTGAGTGACAGCACAGAGGTGAAAGGAGAGCCCTGCTTCTCTTCCAAGCAGAAGACATGTCAGAGCAGACACGTACGTATCTACAAGTGCATCCCAGACACACAAACATATGAGCACTGGGGAAATATACAATGTATTCCATGCAAATGAGCCAAAACCAGATGCACACCAACCATCTATTTGCCAAATGTGCAAACATGCATTCACTGATGCAGTCCTTGTGCTTTAATTGACTGTAGGACCGGTTCAAGCTCCCGGGATATTCTCCACGTTACCTTAGCAACAGAGCAAGGACGACCTCAAAAATTAAAGAAGAGGGAAAATGCCTTTGGGAGACTGCACAACCCTAACACGACCACAAGTCAGGGATAAACATCCACACATTAACAACAAGAGTGGAAAAACTATTCCATACATAATGAAGCTTGTAATCGCACTAACTCTGATAAGCACTTAAAGACCCACTATGAATGTACTCAGCTAAATTAATTAAGAGTTCATCATAAGGACCCTTTGTGATGGAGATATAAGAATGATATGCAGAGACAGACGCAACAAGATGGAGATTTGTAAGAAGTAGCATGTAGCGACCACAGGGAGACAATGCAAACTTCAAACAGAGGAACTCTATCTGGGATTAAAAAGCAGAAGCATTGTTGTTGTGTGTGACAGAATTAATGACTCATTTAGCAATAACGCACAGAGAGATAACAGTCTAATGTCTACACATAAAGACAGATAATCATGTCCTGAGTTTACAGGAAAATTCCAAAGATAACACAGTTTAAGAACTAAAAGATGTACGTTGAATGTTTAAAGTGATTTCCTAAAGATCTAGAATATCATCATCCCATCACTGCATGAGGTGCTGTGCCTCAAAAAGACTAAGGAGACAGGACAAAAGCAGATGAAAAATGTCTAGAGGCGATGTCATAGAAAAACAGGAGACAAATCCAAACACAAGATGTCGTAGATCCATCAGGACCTGCGTTGGATCCGCTCTTTATGTGAGAGCTGAATGAAACATAGCTGCAGCCGGACATTCTCCGTGCTTCTGACTGACGACAAATACATCAGGAACACATGCCGTAAACACATAAAGCCCCTTGAGTTAAATAAAGTTGGACCCTCCTGTCCCCCAAAAGAAAAAAAAAAACACATGGATGAATAAGTGTCCCCACGGTATATTAGTCCCTGTAAACTGCCTCCACCAGTTAGTGGAAGGAAGTGCAGGTTTAATTAGACTCTGAACCACTTCCTCCAAGCAAAGCTTTCTTTTACACCATTATGATTTTCTGTCACACACCACCCTCTAGTGTCACAACCAAATATAGTGCCTGGATTTGAGTGAGGGCAGAGCGGCACTAATACGAGCAGGGCCCCTGCCATTAAAGTCGTGTTGACTGAGTGAAAGGCTATTTGATACACGGAGCCCCGTGCCGTGCGCCCTATCTCCAGCGCGCAGCTAATTAACAGCTCTGGCATGCCCTCCCCAGCTCCCCTTTCTTTCTGTCTGTCTCACTTGATTTCTTTTGGCCAGAGCTGGCATGAGATGAAAAATCCCTCTATTAATTAATCTGTAGCATACAGGAATGAGGATGAGACCCCGGTACTTCTGCCGTGTCTGATTGTGTGTTTGGAGAGGGTAGAGAGGAGTGCAGTGAGCAGTGAATGGTTGATGGAATAACACGCTAAGCTGAATAAATTATTGAGCCTTCATAAGAAGCCTCTGTTTAAAATGGGATTTACAGGCAATACCTCCTTCATTAAGCAACATCAAAGCACACAAGACCCCTTCACAGTCCCTGACCTTGGAATTCAGCGGGTCCATAAAGCATAGCAGAGCGTTTTATCACAAAACAAGATAAGTTCACCTTGGGATTGATATTGATTACCACTGAGATGTGATTTGCTATGGATGTTATACCCATCCACTATGTCTAAATGGTTGTTTAATGCATCTTATTTAAGTCCTGACTCTATTACAAAGTGGGAAAATTAGTCACCTAAAATCCAATACATAAAAATGGACACTGGTGACACTTTCCCAAAGGTTTGCGTACTAAGAGATAAGGGTGACATCTGCATTTATTACGCGCTAAACGAGGGATGAGTAAAATAAGGAGTTTGTGTTGGGAGACCACATGAATCAGTTTCTACATCGTGTTAGGCAGAAAAAATATTTCAAACCAAGCAATGTCATAAGGTGTGTTTTGCCACTGGCGTATTCCTTAATGTTTCTTGTATCAATTAAGATTTGTCTTCTCATTCATAAGTTGAAAACTCTCTGAAAGCTGATTTCAGATCAAATCACAGGTAAGAGGCCTTTGGGCTGTGATCAAAGATTACAGCATTTGATTTCTGTTCTGGCTCTATTGAGCTTTGTGGGGAAAATGTTTTTCCCAGACAGCTATCAGGCCAAGGTGCAGCTTAACTCTCTCTGTTATTTTACAAAGATAGAATAAACTCATAGTTACCACTGAACTACTAGATAACTTGACAATCTAATAACACAAAGTAAACAGGCTTTGGACCTTGTGGCATATGCACTGTACAGTATTAGATACTTTATATCTAAAGACGAAGCAGGTAGAGGAATCATTTAAACTGACATTTGTCTTTGTTATGAAATTGGATTTGAGGGATTTTATTTGGACTCACATTTTAAAATGAAGCCAGAACAGGGAATTCTTCATCACCGGAAATAGCATCATGTTGATGTAACTTTAACTAAGCTTTAATTGATGTTAGCATCCTAACACTAAGTGTAGCCCAGGTTCTCTACCTGAACACCCATTGGCTTTGTAGCTTCAAGGAGATTAATTTTTAAACTTTGTTTATTTCTAACAAATCATCTCAAATCAAATAAAAAGCAAAGAGACATGAGGGAAAGGCTTGCAGTCAGGCGGTAACGTAAAAATGATGTAATGCAAATGTCAGTTTAACACTACAGAATTCCCCGTATTGAGCTGCGTGCTTTGGGACCATCCCTCACCCGGGTCAGCTCAGACTCAGACACGGAGCGGTGTGGCGGGGAGCGGCGATGGTACATGGGGGGGCTGACGTCCTGGTAGCCCGGGCTGTCGTCGTCCAGCAGCACGGCCCCCGAGTCCACGGACTCCTCCTCCTCCAGCTGAGACGTCATGTCCTCGGGACGCATCTGGTGGTCGATGCCATTCTGGCTCAGGTTGCAGTGAACAGCTGAAGAGATACAAATGATGAAGTAAGCAAAGGTTCAGGGGGATCCATTATTTGAATGAAAATTAAATATGAATGTCTTTTTTATTCTTAAAAAATAATCTTTAAAATTCTATCATGCAGGTTAATTATGGTAAAATTGATCAAATATGTCGGTAAATGCATGACGATATCCTTCATTGATTTAATTGATATATCTTTATTAAATCTTCCAAAAATTAAAATTGCAAGCAAAAAATGGTGGAACATCAGCCTGCATAAAACCACCAGATGGCAGCAGATATTTGCCATCCATTTATTAGATTTTACTGTGATACACTCTGATATCTGCACAGAGAGATTAGTTTTGTACAACACAGGTAGATAATATATCATTACATGTGTTTAGTGATAAAATGCTTGAAAATACAGAGCATTGTAAAGTTTATATGTAGATCTTTACTGTTATCGACCGTACAGCATTTTCAGGGAGAAACACTCTTTAAAATTATTACTCAGAGCAATAAAAGAAATGACCTTTAAAAACTGATACAAAAGACAAAGGAGGAACTGTTGGAACTGTAAAATGTCGTCAAATAGCCAGCGTCTGACTTTAAAAGACTGAGAAAAACAAAATTCAATGTTGCTTGTATGTCCCATCTTCCAGTGCTATCACTTTCGAGAATCAAAGCATAAGCAATGCAAACTTTAAATATCTGCCTGAAGTTCATGAAGTAGAGGATAAAAGATAAAGTATTTTTAAGTGATGTCCTAAAAAACTAGAAAATAATGACCCGACACTGGACCTGAGAGGTGCATCTGCACCTGCAACTGATCCGTCCACTGTTCACTGAAGCCTCATCAGAAATGCTCTTTATGGAAGAGTGGCTGTCAAGAAGCCACTCTTAAGGAAGGGAAACAGGAAGAAAAAGCTCAGCTATGTCAAGAAGTGGACTTTAAATCAGTGGCTCCAGGTCTGATGGAGGGATGAATCCTCCCCCGAGTCCAGACCTTAACTTTATTGAAGCAGTGTGGGATCATCTGACAGAGAAAGGAAGAAAATGCAGCTGACATCCAAAGAAGAGCTTTGGGACGTCCTTCAAGAAAGCCTGGAGAGCTACACCTGTAAACTCCTTAAAGAAAGAACCGAAAGCTTTGGTAAGAGAGTTTAGATTGAAACAAACAATGAATGAAAAGGTTTTTGCTAATGAACAGTACAGTGCACCGGATGGATGGGTAGAACACACGGATGAGCAGGAAATAAAACACTTTGTAATACATTCACCTGTTTGACCTCGCAACACAGACACTCTCCTTAAACTATGTAAAAGCATAAACGCCAACACAAATGGAATAAATCTGTCAAACATGCCCCTGAGCTCTCAACTGTGAAGCCGTGTAAACCAAGAACGAGACATAAGGGGCAACAGCAGCAGGTTTTTATCTACAGCTAAGTAATTCCTGTTGTGTTGTGTGAGAATAAGTCTCTAAGCCATCGCTGAGCATTGAGAGATCAATCTTTTTAACAGCTATAAATCCACAAACACTGGCACTCACGCTTAAGTTTCAGCCCGACAAATTGAAAATTGAGCCGCTGAAGGCAAAGCCGCTGAATGGATTCATTTCGCATGTTTCAGAGGAGGATGAGCACTAAAGACAAAAGTCCCACATCAGCAGCCGGCTCATATGACTGTGTATAAACTTGTATTCTACTACTTTGTCATTTCCTCCATGAAGCAGCCATTTTTAGCATCATTCCTCACAGGAAGTGGCAGGCCTGAGAGCTATTTTAGTCTCATCAGACAGTGAGGTGGGCTCAGAGACGACAACCAGCAGTTGGGCAGAGTTGTTAGGCGTCGTCTGTCACAACACACAACCTGCCCACCGGTTCTGAAAGCACCCGCCGCGTATTTACGTGGAACGCAAGCCAAACATTCTTTCCTCACACCTGAAGGCTGCTTTGGCTTCTCCTACAGCCGTGAATTAAAGGTCAAAGCAGCATTTCCTAAAAGATGCACACCCTGCTTCTACCGGCAGGCTTTACACTCCACGTGATGATCCATACGACTGCCGGCTATAAATTACTATTTGAAGCTCTCTGGCAGACCAGAAAGAAAAAGCTGGCATGAGCTGAGGTTGTAAACATGACAGGGAAACTGCACATTGGCCAGAAAAATAATGCCAGTCCATTTCCTGGCCAAGCAGCAATCCAGGAAAACAGCTAATTAGAGACTTATTCCGGATCACTGCCACCAGGCATTTACAACAGCACAGGCACAATTTGGATCAAAGAGAAACGCACAGTAAGACCAGCAACCGCGTATGAGCAGTGGTTAGGTAAAACACGGGTGTGGAGTCCGCTGCGGGGGGTCCCGGCTCCCCCTGACACAGAGCACATCTGGGAGAATGAGCCGGAGCACGATGCTGCCTGTGAGCATCACCCTTCCCACTGAGTCAGGTGCTGCTTTTCACACCAAAATAGAAGAAAAACAAACGTTCAGAGCAAATTCCAGCAAGAGCATGCGACTGTATCCAAGTGTTACAGGTGTGTTCAGCCACTTTCAAGTCAAGATGAAAGATATTCAGCTTATTTTCTGCATATCTCTCAATTTCCACTTTACATCAGCTTTGTATGGTTTCTGTGTTGTTGGACAGACTTTTCGGGCTGTGTCACTGGTTTGCAGATGCCAAATATAGTAAAATGTCGTTAAGACAAACATGTCTACATGCATTTAAAGACCAGATTTTAGTCAGACCACCACAGTGTGTTGATACCAGTAAACCTGAGTAATGACCAGCAAGGCTTAGATAGTCATTAATGGACAATACCTGTCTAATCCTCATCGAATGATATAAAGATATATTATCCGAATTCGATACCTAGGCTGGCCCGTTTAAATTACTGAAGGAATATCCATGAAGGGCCGTGATTAAACAAACCCAACTTGAAATGCGGGGCACGAAGCATTGCTCCCTCTCACTGCTTCTTTATTCCTCGCTTCCCCCTTCTCCTCTTCCCCCTGACTCAAAGCATGACTAGTGCGCAACCTCTATGGAGGAGAGATGAATTATACATCCTCTGTTAAGTGTATATGAACAATGGTACAAGAAGGCTAAAGGGATAGGTGGATGACTAAATGATGTAAGGGATTGGACAGAGGGAAGAACACAGCGAAGAGTGGAAGGACAGAGGTAATGCTCTCGTCATTTCATGGGGAAAAGGATGGGCGTACAGGGGGATAGGAGATAGAGATTTCTTTTCCCTTTTTTTTTTTAAGCAGCAACGGTTACTAAAAATAGCACCATTACATTCTTCTCTCTATCCTCCCTGACATGCGCCGTGGAAGAATCGTGAGGGAACAGACAGATGAGGGAGGATGTCTGCCTCCATTCTTCCACTGCTTTCTTTTTCTATCAATGAGATTCAGAGAAAAAGGAGGGACAACTGGAGCACACATGCAATTATCTTGTCTTGTCTTTTTAAAAAGAGAAAAAACTTTAGACTTCTCCTTCTGGTGTTCCTCAGTGCTCCTGATGCTCAATGCTTGGAATCTAAATTCTAAAAAAAGGGCAGTGTTTAACAGCATGAGCTGGATCAAAGAAAAAACAATTGCGGCTCCATAATTAAAGGTGAAGTTTGCACTGTGTAGGTGCCCAGACTCATAGTGAACTCCTTCTAGCTGGCTGCCTCCCAGAGTGGAGCAGAATTAATTGTTTCTGAGTAAAATAAACTGTTTTGACCCAGAAAAAAAGTCTAGAGAAGGAGGCCAGGGGAACTCAGATGACTGCAGAAGTTAGACAAGTTATTAGGCCTTTTGACTGTCTTTTGCCTTCTTTCAGAAAAAGATCAAGTCAATCATAACCTGCTGATAGGACTGGAAGCATGTGGGTGGAAACATTCCAAACCAACTGAGCCAATGGAAGCTCTGGGGAATTTGAAGAGGTGGTCTGGCTCAATTCCCCACATAATGACATTTCAGTCATCTGCACAGCTGCTACTTTATTCATATGGCTAAAAGTGGCTTAGAGCGGAAGAAGAAATCACTCTCTGCCACATGGCCGGATAAAAACTTTGACACTTGAAAAAAAGTCATGCACTCCGGGGATGAATGTGTGGACTGGCACATGTTTTTTTTTCTCTCGCCGAGCTGATCGGTTTCCTCCATCTGTTATCTCTCTTCAACTCTCCCACGCACTCATGCCTGCACAGGCGCAAACACATCCACAGATCTGTGTCCGCGGTGACGTTCACAACCCCACAAGAACATTCAAAAAAGATGCAGCGCTAATTCCCAGCGGGTCTGCTCTTTGAGCGAGCAAAGCCAGTGAGTCTGCAGGGGGTGTGAACCGAGCTCATGCTCTGCAGGCAAAATTAGAAAAAAGTCGTGAGAGGACTGTGTTAGTGTGTATGGATGGGTATGTGCATGAGTGCATCTGCTTAGTTGCCTACCCTGAGGACTGAGAAAGAGCATCTCCATCACGGGGGGCCAGAAAAACACAAAGCCCTCTTATATGATTACTTAAAGACTAATAAAGGACATTTTTAAGATGTGGCCTTCAATCCCAGATGTTTTTGATGGGAGACACATATATATAGATGTCGAGTTATCCCTGGTTTTTGTTTGCCTGACTCGACCAGGCTTTGCACAGAGGACGCATGGATCCACTCAGCTCAACTTAAACTTTCTTTTATTGACTTTTGTCTCACTTTGGTGAAAGTTAAGCAGGCAGGTTGAAAACCTCAGAAAGAAAACAAACAGAAATTAGTGCCACAATAAACCATGCAAACATGTTAAATTATATATGTTGAACTTGCCTTGGAAAAATAAATACTTTAATAAACATAAGTGGGGAAATAAAGTGAAATACTCACCAGTAGCGTGATCAGTGTTCAGTCAAACAAAAGAGCCACTCAGGTGCTCACCCAGTATTAATCACCTCCGCTTCTTGCTCTATCCCCTTTTTCCAAACAAGTGAACGCTTGTGCTCTCTACCGCCCTCTGCACCACTTTGTGCACCAAATAACCATCACCACAGAGTGAAAAATATAAAGAATGAGGAGTAAAAAAAAACACTTAACCCAACAATAGAAATAATTTCAATTGTCTACCACTGTCATTAGCCTAAGGGTTGTTTTTTTAAACATGTAAAGATGACATTTTGAACCTGTTGCAGGACACTGAATTGTAATCAGACCATTTGTGTCTTGCCTAAAGGCATAGCTGTGCTCAATGAGAGCGATTGCTCAAGTAAACAAACCCGATATTCCACTTTGAATTAGTTTACTGTAGATGTTTCTATTCAGAAACACAAAAAAAAGAATGTTATTTTGCCATTTACCCCCACACTCCCATGAGTTATTCACAGGCCTGCCGTTTAGGGCTCATCGTGCAACATTAACATTCATGATGGCGCTCCACCATCTGGAGCTCAGGTAGTCTCAGGCGACTCTCCAAACAGGACATTTAGTGGGTCACCTCTTGCTTGGTCATTGCTGGATCTAAAGACAAAATAGTTGTTTTAGCACTATGATGAATGATTATCGGAGAACTTCAAAGTGCTTTAGGTAAATAAGGACAGGGAAAATATCAAAGATAGAAAACCTTACATGCATCTTCTCCAACACACAAGTTTTTCATAAAGAAAACATGTGCACATCACACAGTTGTCAGACCATGCATACACACATTTTTGGAGCATTTGAAGTCTGAAATGATCAACTGGAGATGGTAAAAGTGACAACATTTTCTATCTTTGTGTGAGCTCTCTGGTTTTTAAATTTCCGTAGGGCCCTTTGACTGTCAATCTTGTTTTCCATTCTACAGGTTTTGCTTCAGTCACAGTTCAGGAGCTGAGACAACCAAAGAAAACCGGAATCTCTACTTCCTGGATGGGTGCCTTACTTATTCGTGGTTTCTCCTTACAGCTGCTTTCATTTCACATTAACATAACTGTGGGGCGAACAATGTTTTTATAGTCAAGTGATCAGGCAGAAGTATTCTAACATCTATTTGTAGCACAGTTTCAGCCATTAAGCTTTGCAGTTTATTGCATTCAGCCAGGTCCCAGTTTTGACAAAGCCTGTTTCATGATTATACGATTTTATTAGATAAGCCATATCAGCCAAATTCATTCAGTAACCATTTTCCTTCAGGACCAATAAAGTATCTCTCTGTTGCTGTTTGCTATCCCTATGTGTTGGTCTAAAAACACAACCAAAAACTATTTTAAAAGAGACATTCCTCAGAACAAGTTGAATAAAAAAACAAAGATTGGTCTTGTGTAAAGTAAACCTAAATGTGTAAAGAATATGAATAAGAAGAATTTTTAAATGCCAGACTAGAAACTTTTCTGGCATCCCTGGCCTTCATTTCTCATGTGTTTACTGTCTCGTCTTAAGTGGGCTGTTGAGACATGAGGACTGATAGCATGACTAACAATCAAAGTGAGGCAAGCACTTAGTTAGCCAGCCAGCTAGGCTATCAGTGGGGCTTAATTCACCCTGACATCCTATCAAAAGTTAACTGAGCCCGAACTTCAGTCACTGCCCTCCACAACCCCAGGGCCTGATCAGCTATGATTGGTTGGTGCTGTGTCAAGCAGGCGCAGATGTGCTCGGCTATGAATCTCTCTGAAGTGCTGAGTGAGAGAGGATAAGAAGAGGCACATAAAGCTGGAGGAGATGAAAAGAAAAAAGTTGGATGGAGACAGAAAGTGAGAGTAAGAAAGACAGATAAAATGAGTCAGTGAGACAAGGCTGAGAAAAAAAAAGACAGTGAAATGACCCACTTTAAAGCAAAAACACACAGGAGCCAAATATAACCGTTGTTCGGTAGGCTTGCTGTGAAGGATGTATTCCTGGCTTAAAGCTGTTGCTGCGCTCAGCTTCAAAGGAACAGGGAAAAAAGGGTGACAAAAATAGACTTTGTTAATTTAGAGACGAGTAAAATCTATTAATATTTGATGAGAAACCCAAGCATTTAGCTCACACAACAGGACCCATTGCAGGCTAAATGAAAGGTTTATGACTTTGCTGAGTCTCTCGAACCATTACTGAAGTAGCAGCTACCTCAGTAACTTCCTTACTTTAACAGCAGATGACTGAGTAATGCATGTCCAAACCAAAACTGTACGGCCATCTCTGTATTTTTTCTTCACAGTTTCAGTCTGAACATGAAAGCAAAGGATCATTCTTCCCCACTTGATCTTTTCTTAGTTATGCATGACACCTTTTTTTTTTCAAATTCTTGTTAACTCAAGGCAGCAACGGTGAAAGCTTAGACAAAAATTTAGATAATTAAATGCAGCCCGGTTCATTCTTTTAGTCACTGTTAAGATCAAAGAGGAATTCTAGCTTTTTTCCCCAGGTTGTTCGACCAAAACATGATCCGTCCCACGCTGGTCTGCAGGGTCAGTATTGCTGCATCCTGAGATCACGACGACACAAAACCATTGTGTTTGGTTCACAGACATCGTCGAAGACAGGGACGATGATGGATGCAGACAGCTCTAGCTCCTGCCCTGGCATTGCAAGCCTACATTCGTTTACTCTGTGGTTGGTTGACCAACACGCTCATGCATATAACACAAAAACAGCAGTGCGTGCCTTAGAACTCGTCCCACAGATTGATGTAAACAGAAAAGAATTTACCGAACAAAGACAGCCCCGAACGGCTACAAATGTGGCAAAGCAGATTCAGCCATCAGCCACAAACATTTCAACCACCTTCCTAATATTATGTCAGGTTCCATAGATCCCATATACAGTCTCAGAACAAACACAGAGACAAATAAGCCAACAGCAGTCTTAGATAAAAGCAAAGAAACATCAAAGAATTAAAAATCAACATCTATTCTCAATAGCATGTTGATGCAGTGACAGCCAGGCTCCCTCGTTCTTTGGAATATGTTTTTTAGAAGACACAACTCTGTGTGTGGTGACGTGAGGATGTGATCAGATGCTGTGTTAAAAGAAATAGGGTTTACAAATGCCAGGTTGTCAAAGACACTCTCGAAAGCCGAGACAGTATATCAGCTGAAAATCTTATGGCTGAAGAAACACCGAGTTATTTGCTGTTTTTCACTGTTTATGAGAGCACTGCTGATACATTCACACTGCAAATACATGAATAAGGCTTCCATCTGCAAGTGTAAAGTAATAGTAGGGTTCCAAAATCCCATTAAGCAGTATGTATAACCCTCTTCATTAGTCCTTCCACACCTATTTATGAGACTTAATCACTTTGACTATTTGCAGTAAATCATGCAGCCACAGTGCTAAATAGATCAGCTCTTTGCATTAGCACCCCACCAAACCATTTATTATGCAGCCCTGTCCTCTTCCCAACCCAATTTAATGGGTTCTATTACCTACCTTTACGACTTAAGCATGTTTGTGTGTTTTTTATCTCTGCTTTACTGTTTGTGTTCCTCTCTTAGAACGAAGGAGCCTTTAGAGCCACTGTAAAGGCCCATCCATCCGTTTTCCATACCAGTTATTCCCAACGGGCTGTGAGACGATGGCTCTAAGGTGCATAAAAACTGTTATATACATCAACACTGCTGAAAGGCTCAGAAAACAAAACAGGGCTCCTTCAAGTGGTGCACTTGCATTGGAATCATAAAGTGGACACAGGAACACTCCACCGCTGCAACCTGTATCATTCAGGCTGCTTTTATCCCAAATAGGACTCATGTGATGCACTACCATCTGCTGTGTACAAGTGCTCAAGTGCAGCCACTGTTCCCCTTTTAACAACGTCGCTGCTTTTACAAAGCACAGCTATGACCAAAATGAGTCAGATATCATCCAGCAGGATCATTATGGTTTTCTCATTTTCTCACTGATACCAGAATGTGTCATTGACCAACTGGACCCAGCTGGACAGGCGACCTTGTCCAGGGTTTACCCCTGCCTCTCGCCAAATGTCATCTGGGATAGGCTCCAGGCCCCACGACCCTACAAGGAATAAGCGGTACGGCCTATGAAGGGATTTGTTTTTATCAAACAGTATTATACTGACAGGAAATATCCCTCTGAAAATATTTCTAATGTTCCACATCTTAGCACTAAAACTATGTTCCTACAGCTAAGAGAAATATTAAACCCTCCACTATGTTTGCGGCACAGCTGGTATTCAAATGCCTGATTAAATCAACAATATTCTAATTAGCTCTGCTGCCAGCCCATTAAAACATTTTACCAGTAGGAACCACAATGAACTGTTCAATTATTCTTAGGCTGCCACCCAGGCACTTCAAAACTTTAGCGCGGCAGAATCCTTCTGAGCGGAGGACAACACAAAGCAATTCAAGTTGTATTGTTTCACATACTAATTATTTGACGAAGACTAGAGATGTGATTGTATTAAAACAATTGCTATCACTTCTATACTACCCACCCCACAAAACTGCATATTCACATTCAATTATGGATCCAAAGTTCTGATGCAAATTCACCTGGAGTGATATAGAAATAATTATCTTTGCAGCACTGCCAAAAATACCAGATAATCACCGTCTTCACCTGACTCTCTCCATCTGTGCCCACCGTACAATCAGTGACACACAAACTGTTTCAGATCTGCTGCTCCAATCAGTCAGCAGAGCGGGACGCAGTAGGCCTCCTGGTCATCAGGGAATGGAGCTGACAAACTGCCAAGTTTCTGCACTTGACACAACAGGGTGCCAAATTTCCACGAAAAGCACAAAAGTCATCATTTGAGAAAGGGAGAGCGATGTGCACAAAGTTCTGAAAGTGCTTTGCAAGGGTGAAACGGGCAACAAACGACTGGAACACTCAGCAGAATTTGTCTCCTCCTACGGGTTTAATTTCCCTGATGCTCGGACGGTTCTGGAAGGTCGATAAAGTTACAGAATACAGGAGTTATTGTTAGGCAGCGACACAGACAAGGACTAGCGCTGTCAGCCATGTTCGTGTTCCACAAACAGAGTGCCCCGCAGAGGTCGGTGGCTCCAGTGCTTTTGCACACATCAACAACAATCTCTCACCATTTCGGCTGGGGGAAATTACATTTATTTAGGTTATGGCAAATCTAAATGCGAAATCAGGGTGCACCAAACAAATCTCCCACATGAGAGATGAAGGATGATCAAAAAAAGTCAAGCATTTATCACTTAGCACTAAGATGCCTCACTTAGATGCCTGCATGTGCATATTTATCAGATCTAAATTTGGAAGGCACACTTTTCCCTAGTTTGTAAGTGTAATCCTCCCACATGGAGCAAAAAGTGACATATCCTGCAGCTAAAGGTGACATTTGACAGTTTTAATCCAGGTGTGACACGAATAGGGGAACAATAGCATTTAATCTTTACCTTGTTCAGTTCATCTTTTCCATTGCACTTTGGTTAAAATCCCAATATCAGCTTTCAATCATTATAGTGATTTCACAGAGTATTTTACAGGGATTTTTTTCAATATTTCCTATCCCTAGTCAATATT